TTCCAATCAGGCCTCTACCTCCACTCGACGCTCCAGGCGACTACCAGCAGGGGGAACGGCTCAAACAAAGCATGAGACCTTAGTAAAATCTGAGGAAACGGGCGACCCACGACCTTTCGCCTGTGATCAGTGTGGGCGTACGTATCGCCATGCAGGAAGTCTGGTCAACCACCGAAACTCCCATAAAACTGGTGAATATTACTGTTCTGTGTGTAACAACAGTTACTCCAATCAACTAGCAATGAAAAACCACTTGCGCACGCACTTTGCTTTTAAAAAGCACTCTTGCCAAAACTGTGGGAAAGGCTTTAGAGGAAAGAAGCAGCTATCAGCTCACGTCTGTGCGGCCCTCAGAAACGAAGGGGCCAGAAGCAGGAGGGGCCTAAAACCCAGAGCCACTAAGTGTAAGGAATGTAAACAGGCCTTTCTCTCTGTTGACCAACTGGCAGCCCACACCTGCGATACACCTTCAGGCAGCAGTGATGCTCAAACAAATATATTTCCAAGAAAAGAGGAGCGCCCTTTCAAATGCAACATATGTAATCGCAGTTATCGCCACGCAGGCTCACTCCTCAACCACAAAAATACCCACAAGACCGGACACTTCAGCTGCACCTTCTGCTCTAAGCCCTTCACTAACCCCATGGCTCTGCGCAATCACACGCGCATCCACACACAGAAGAAAAAGTATGTGTGTCTCACGTGCGGAAAGGCCTTCCGCCTCGCCAGCATCCTGCACAACCATCAGAGGGTCCACAACCGCATGGCGAGTCACTTCAGCTGTGCTGCGTGTGGGAAGAGTTTCCAGGGCAGGTCTGGTTTGAAGAGACACCGCTGCCGCAGAGGTCAGGGGAGCTCGATAAGAGCTGGAGTCCAGCAGTCAGAGAGAGGAGACAAGTGCTTCACGTGAGTTAAAGTTCTATTTCGACCTGAGTGTTGGAGTTTTATTCTCACATATTTTCTCTTTGTTTATCAAAACTATCCTGACCCGACTGATTAGATAAATTGGCCAATATTAGTTTTATCAGATGTAACTGTATGAGTGCATAAGTTAAGCCGATAGCTTGATTTATTTTGTCTAAGTACTGACAAGTTTAATGTTCAGCTGAGAAATTTCCTGCTCAATACATATATTGATTTAAACACTGAAAAAACATATGTACAGATTCCTTATGATAAATGTTTATGTATTTACTGCTTCTTTAAAATGAGCATTATTGGCCTACAAATTTAGTTTTTAACAGTATAGTAATGTTTAATCATAGTAAAGGAATATTAGTATCAGTAATTTGCTGTTTTAGAAGTAATTTGCTTTTGGTTTAAATGATCTGGATTACAGTTTGTTATTAGGGACTGAACATAAACATATCCCTGCTGCAGGTGTGACCTGTGTGGGCGCTCCTACCGTCACGCTGGCTCCCTCCTCAACCATAAAAAGACACACTCCGAAAACCTCCACCATTGTACCTTGTGTCTCCAGACATTTCCTGATTCTCTCACTCTGCAGATTCACTCTCAGATGAGGCGTCATTGCTGCCCCGAGTGTGGCAAGACCTTCTGCCTGGTCACACACCTGCAGAACCACATGGAGGTGCACTCGAAGGAGCGGGCTGTTGTCTGCAACCTCTGCCAGCAGAGCTTTCCCACCACAGACAGTTACCAGCAGCACCATGACATGCACCACAGGGATCAGGGCCCATATCAACAAGCTGAGGATGAACCCATAGAGGACAACTTTGGCTGGGACTCAGGAATAAATCCGACTATGGGTATTGACGGCATGCACAAGCAGGTTCCACCACCCCTGTCCCACATTCCAGGAAGCATCACCGATTCACAGAACGACACTGCTGGCACGGAGGAGAAGAGCCACGTCTGTGAGCACTGTGGCCGCACTTATCGCCACGCCGGCTCCCTGCTCAACCACAAGAACAGCCACAAGACGGGCTCCTTCTTTTGCTCCATCTGCCAGAAAGAGTTCACCAACCTGATGGCCCTCAAGAACCACCGGCGCATCCACACGGAGCCCAAGCGCTACCAGTGCCTGGATTGTGGAAAGGCGTTCCGCGTGTCCACTCAGCTCATATGTCACCGGAGGATCCACACCAAAGAGAAGCCCTTCGCCTGCCTGCTGTGCGATAAGAGCTTTTCCAGCAAGTCCAACCTGCGGCACCATCAGAAGATGCATCAGAACACGCAGAGCTACGACTCTTCTTTTAGCATGGACGCTGACACGTTTATGGACCTGGACATGGGGTCTTTCCTTTAAAGTAGTGGTGCAGAGTATACAAGAGAAGAGGATCCTCTTATAGATCTTGTATTCGTCCCTCTATCATTAATTGTAACACAGTATTTTTTTTCTTCAGAAAGTGCACCTTGGTCCGGACAGAGGCTTCTTTTTGAAAATGCACATTTCATTACTGATACCCAGTCTTACCTCGGCAACAGATGGCAGCATCACTGAAAAGTCTCCAGAGAGTTTATTGCTCCTCTTTTAATACGGCCTGAATGTTTTTCTGTGAATACACAGGATCCCAGAATACAGGGCGGGCGATTTAAAAAAAAAAAAACGATCGCCAATCATTCCTCAATGACCAACCAAAGTGAACAGCCCAGGTCCGTGGAAGAATATTAACACAGATACCATGTTTTTTGTAAGACTACTGGTGATCTCTCCTCTCTTGCTATGTACAAATGTGTTCAGTGCCTCTGTAAGTTCCTTAGATAACAAAATATACAAACTATATTTATCTTTGAATCCTTTTGTTAGCTTTGCCGTCAATCTCAGAGGACTGCTCGCTTTTCCTCTGGGAGCTCACATAGGGCAAGCCTGTTATTATAAAGTTAAATACCTCTGGGTGTGTCCAAAGGTCAGTGGCAAAGTGATTTACTGAAATCATATTAATAGTTGTACTGCTAATAATAATCAAGTTGAGTGACCTTGTATGCTAAAATTGATGTATTTATTAATTTATTCCTGTTATTTTATGTCCATATTTTATTAGGAAAACGTTTTATGAATGTTGTAAAAAGAAATCTGTCTTCTGAAACTCATGTAGCCTGTAAGGAACTTCACCAGTGGATCTCTAACTCATTAACTCTCATCAGTTACAACAGGCAGGAATGAATTGAGCCAAGGATGGTGTGTTATTGGCAGCACTCAGGGGAAACCTTCAAAAGGAACATACCTGATGTGTAAAACCTTGTAGATAATCAGTTTGAAGCCAACCGAGCATTTTCTTTGTTCTCGTGCCATTTCAACATGTTTATATCTGATCTCGTTTAACGGTTGTCATAGTCACTCCAACATGTAGTTGCAGCTGCACATGCAAGCGCGCACAGTTATCCATGTTAGAATTTTCATAAACAGTTGTCAGTCAGTTATGTAGAAGAGCCAGTGCCTAAAATATAAACAGATTGTAGCAGTTAAATGTAGAGAAACCACCTCTCACTCTACTTGTTATACTATAAAACAATGTATTTCTGTTTGTCTGCTACATTTGATTTTCTTTAATTATCCTGATGATTTATGAATCTTTTCTGCCACAAAACATTTAAAATGTCTTAAACATTTAACAACAAAAACACTTTGCAACATTGAGGGGAAACTGGTTCCTTTTCCTCTCAATCTTCATCCTTTTTTTTTTCTGTCACAAATGCTGTATATGAATTAAATAGAATTACTTTACATATGAAAATTCAAACATGTGGCCGGGATGCCTAATTTCTGCTAAGCACAAGAGTCACTGCCAACATACCAGAGCTTTGTGGATTTACTGTCATAAAACATAAAAATGTGCAATTTATTTTTTTTGCCAATTTGTCTGAGATGAATGTGGTTCCTAAGTGAACACATGGCCTTTTTTTTATAGAACAATCTGAAATTAGATTTTCTTTATGCCATTAACATGATATGTCGTGTGTGCGTTTGTTTGTTTAGCACTGGTCAGAAGTAAGAAATACCTCATAGAATGCCCTGCCGACGTAGTTCTGCTACTTACTGCCTCACGCAGCGTAATTGTAGAGAATACACTGTATCCATACAAACTCAGATAGTTACACATTGTAATACTTGGAATGAATGAAGCATCAATTTTAAGGTTTTACTTTTCATTTGCAGAATCCTACTGTGGTTGTTTCTCCCGTTGTTGAGTTGAATTTGCACACGTGTAGTTCAGACATTTTTAGCCTAAGGAGGACAGGAGGCAGATGACGCTGATGAGATGTTGTCGTTGGTTGCTGCGTCGACAGGAAACGAGTCGGCAACTTGATAGTTTGCCTCCGCTCAGTTTGCGGCTCGTAATATTTAAGCAATATACTGAAATTGTTTCAGTGCACAGGCTGAGTTTGATATTCTGACACAAGCCTTGGAGAAAAAAAACCATAACTTCCCATCAGCCATCTTTGTTACATTATTTAAAGGCTCATCTGTATTAACTGACATCTTCATATGCCATAGTAGCCTACATGTAAAACGACGGACACACTTTTCAGTTAAAACTGTAAACTGACTTTATTTTTGTATGAGGTTCACGTTCTAATTCCCTGTGGCACTTAACACATTCACTCCTCTGTCATTGATCACAATCACAGCCTGGTATTTGTGGCGTGTGCGTTAATCTCAGAGCTCTCTGTAAATATTAGAACAAAAATGTCGGCTGGATCTCTGTACATTCAATGCAAGATTTTGTTCAGCGGGAGAAAACTACTAGATTAGCTATTGTGTAATAAAAAAAACATACCACATGTTCTGATTTATTGCGTTTTCAGTGCTCGCAAATGTCTGCTCAGTATTTAATTCATATTTATATAACTATTTTGTCACTCAGAAGCGTAGATTTTTACTTATTTGTTAGACTGTAGTTTAGAATATGAGCAAAATTTATTGATAAAATTAGATGACATGAATTAAAAGACTTGCAAAATAAACTGTGTTTGTTTCTTGTCCATATTTGTCCCCCTGAAAGTCAGTAATACACCTTGGATTATTAAGTTGTCAGTTTTATTGTGAAAATACTTTAGGTACACAAAGCAGTTTATAGGATTGCATTAGGTAAAAGAAGCCAGTGCATGTACAGTATATACAGTTAGACAGAAAGCAAGAGGAATAAGCAGGAAGTGTTAGTTATTGCTCAGTAACATCGCAGGCTGGCCAAGTAGAAATTAAAAGAAATCTTCACTGGAGTCCCTTTACATATGTGCTTGTCCCTTGCAGTTTGAAACAATGCTACACTGCAAGATACTTACAAATAAATAATATAAACATCTAAACAAAAAAATAGAAATGTGGACGTATCTGTATTTTAAGTGATTCCCTAATGTCGCTGCCAGAGGGCAAGCATTTCACCCACAAGCAGACAGATCCAAAAAAAAGACCTGAAACATTGTCAGTGACCACATACTGCAAGATGGTCGGAAGATGGAAAAAAGACAAAAACATTTTGTACAATAAGAAAAAGTGGAAAACAACAATCCTGCCCACCATGTTTTTCACTGGTTTCAAAGGCCACAAAATTACTGACATCTTGATAGATGCATCGCTTTTTTCTTTGAGCATCATCATTCATCAAGTCAGAGTTAGGTGTGATTGTGTAACTTCGCCTAACACGCTGTGGGTGTCATTCTCTCCAGTACAGTACATTCTCTGCTCTTGTTAGTAGGCTGGCATTGTGTGTTTCTAGTGTTTCAAGCATCCTGTGCCGCTAACGCTGGGACGGTAACATGAATTCTGGGGATGTAATATAAGTAAAATTAAAAAAAAGTCAGACAAAAACATTAAAACAGAACAAAACCAGATTGTTATAACCTGTAGTAGAGGGTCTGTTGGTTTTAAGAGACGGGCTCACGGTGCATGAGCAGTTTTCTGTCAAACTCAAAGAACAGCTATGGAGGTGCAGTCAGGGACAATGGCTAGAATACATTTCAACCTAATAATAGCTACATTCAAATGGCCTTAATGTGCCAAACAGTTTGTCTTGACTCACTCATGGTTTATCTTGAAGAGGCTGTTGTGGTAAATAACCAGCAGAGAGTCCCCTTGTTACCCTGCAGAATAGCAGGGGATCAGGCCGCAGCCCCAGACGGCACTAGCTGTGTTACATTCATTGGAGTCCTGCTGGAAAACAGCACAACGCTAAACAGGAGTGTGGGTTGTAGGTTAATCCTGATGCTGAGTCAAATATCTATATAAACCCACAAAGGATATTCTGGATCATAATCTCATTTATATGGAATATAGAGGCACACGAAGTCTGAAAATGATACTCTAATATAATGTTAAGCTGTGAGAGTTGCTCGTTGTTAAGTCCTGTGGTCGCTATGGGACTGTGATCCCTTCACTGAACAGTCTAATAAATAAAACTGGTCCGATTCTGGTCAGGAGATACTCTGTGTTCAGAGCATACACTTCATGGTCCAGAGGTCTCTGCGTCCGGCTGTGAGCCGGTCGCTGCTCGGTTCTGTCACATCTGTTTCCAGAGGAAGATGAGGCTGTGGAGCGTATGACAACCATTGAGTTCCCTTTGCATTCACATCATTTTATCAACATCACACAATTAAAGCTACAGGCATAATCAGCTGTATGTTAGAATTAAGATCTGACCAAAGTGGGACGATATCTGATATCAAGTTGTTTCTGAATTTATTCTACTTTAATTAAGTTTGATTTCATAAAGGTTATTCAAATAAATTAATTTATTTTGATAAATGTACTCAATTCAATTAACCCTTCGGAGCCCTGGGCTAATGACATGTTTTTTTTCTGTTTCTCAATATAACTGAACGAAATTGTGTTAAATTTAACGCTAGCAGCATCCTCATACTTTCACTCATGTGTAAAATAAAATCATATCTCTGTTTTTAAACTTAGCAAAGAGTCACTTTTGACTGAAATTGAAAGCAGCGCTCCATGTGGCTCTGTGTTTACGCTGTGGCGTCCTGAACCAGCCAAGTGAAATGATCATGCCAGTTAAAGCATTTTTATCCCAAATCAATTGTAAAAGAACCCAGAAAAATCCTGCACGCTGTTGATCACTCACTATCACATAGATGTTCAGGAGCGACAAATTAAAGTGAAAATGAAAATTATACTTACTGAAATGTTTAAGCTTGATAAAGTGGCCCCGCAGTTTCTTCAATGGGTTCTGTAATAAAAAACAAAGAAGAAACACACATGATCATTTTCCCAGTATGTTTTGTGTTTTTAAATATACAACTCGTTTCTAGGCATGAATAGAAACACAAGAAGTTTTAAGTTTAATTTTCTCTGCAATTTCTGATGGTTGGTGACACAGAGACAAACTAACTTCATAACAACTTACGCGACTTAAGTTTCTTATCATCTGTCTTTAGCAGGATTACACAAGAACTGCTGGATTTCCACAATCTTGGGTGGAGGAATATGATGAGTCAGGGAAGAAGACCTTACATTTTGGTGCTGAGCCAAATCAGAATGCAGATCCAGGAATGTTTTTTCACTGACTTTAATAGTGAAAAAAAGCTTTTTCACTATTTGATCATGATGAAAAATAATCACTCGTATTTAGGGGACAGATGTTTAAGAGTCTGTGCAATTGGGTGCAGATCTAAATAAATATCCCTTGGGCCTTGGTGGAGGTATTTACTTAACGGAGCAGCATTTGAGTTTTTAATACAATCTGTTTGAAAGGCAACTACACATATCGTGCTCATGTTTGCTTTGCAGCAGGGATGTAAAACGATTTTTAAAGATTTTAGATAACTTAACCCCAAAGGAATCTTTGTCACTAATAATGTTAGGGTTTAATGTGATGCATCATATTTCATATCTTTTACTCTGTGTCTTCACAGACAACATACCTGTATTTACACTGAAATCTTAAAGTTTCTTTTCCAGGAAACAGAAACGAAAGTGTGAAAAACACAAAAATTATCTTAAATACTAACCAATATGTTACTTCCTGATGCTGTGAAAGAGACTTTACTTTCTTCACTTTCCAGTGAATTATAGAATTGATTTTAAGATGTTATTGGTCTTTCCTGTCAGGCCACCGACACTTTGGAACAATCCACCTGAGGAGATCCATCTAGCAAACGCCCTATATTCATTTCAACTCTTATAAAGACACTTACAGGTGTGCTTTGTCCTAGTTCTGATCGTACCGTCTATTTTTAATCATGTTACAATATTTAATTTTCTTTCCTCAACTGTTTTTTCTATTGCTGTTTCATCTTCAAATTTCCTATGTTGTTTGCCTTTAATTTGTCATTTTTAACCTTTAAATTAACAAAGAAATTATAACTTGACAGAGTTTTATAGCAGTGGTGGATTTCAGCATCGCAGTTTGGGAACTAGTTTTGGATTTAAAGAAATATTGTGTCGTTTTCTATCAATGATTTCCATCACATCTCACCACGTAGAGGTCGTTTGTGTGACTTGTGTCGATGCACCATGACCCCGATAATCAAGACAGCACCGACCAGCACGACGGCGAGCACTGAGAAACTTGTGATGGCCGCTAGTTTCCACACATCCGGTGTGTCCTCATCAGGTTTACCTGGGGATAGAATAAACACAGCTTAACCTGCAGCACTGGCAGAAAGTGAACCAATGTATGAATCAGTCATGGCAGAGCAGGTTTCTTACATGTGTCGCACGACGGGGTCTTGGGGTACTGCTTGCACGACGCACATGGCATACACCCGTCCGCATCTGAGCTCCAAAACTCTAAGTTGCCACACAGACCTGCACACACACACACACATCAGACATAAACAATTGTGACACTTTATAACCAATAATACTTTCACAGGGAAACAATGCTTGGCCCGAGAGGGTTTATGAGTTCTTCCATTTTTCCTTATTCATGCAATACTTAACACTGTCTTAAGCAAATGAAATATTATGATCTGGGGTAATATTTGGACATGACATTTGATGCAAATGTTTTAGAGAACAACCACAATCCCCTTAGACTGCAATAAAATAAAATGCTTAAATACAATAAACCACAATCAGTTGACTTGCAGGGAGACATCCAGCTGGAATCAGTTACTGCAGCTGTGACCTGCAGCGGGACACATGAGGAACTTTGTGGCTGTCTTCCTCTTATAAAATGAAACTGGGAAATTCCTCTGGGTCAGACCGCTGATGCAACCCAACTGCACCAGAGAGGATCACTCAGCGGCTCTGGGTGCATGAGCGGGCCGGGCGGTGTGCGAAGAGCAGGATGTGTTTTCGCAGAGTGCTTCCGCTGAATTGTTTTTGCCTCTGCGGACGTGTGCGACTTCCAAAGAATAAACGACCGAGCTTGTGAGAAAGAGGTCGGCGGTTGAGCTCCGGGAGAAAATGTCTACCTCACCGAACACAATAGAAATCTGCCTCTCTCTCTCTCTGTGGCAGCGGAACGATTAAAGCTGTGCACACGCTGAAGACCCTTGCGGCCGTGACACAGTTAAGACTCAGTGCTGCTTTAATAGTGTTTGTGGGTTTCACATCCTTGGTTTGGTTAAGAATGAGATGATTCCCCCAAGGTTCTGGATGAAGTAGTGAGTATTGTGACATCAAGTTGAAAAACAATCTCTGCAAAACAACATTACAACATGAAGTCAGCCTAATAAGATGACAACACCAGACACGTCCCAGTTATAGATAAAGTAACACGGACACAGATATTCCAGTAACTGTTGCACATGTGTATTTGCATGAACGCCTGTGATGTTCAACCTGATAAAAAGGAGTTATGATGAGCCTGAGAGTTTGAGTGTCACAGTCTGTGGTGACTTTCATGTGCGACACTTCAACCATTGCAGAGAACAACATCAAAACTACCAGAATGCGAGTTTGACGTAAGGCAAACAGCACTGAGAAGAATGTGTGGGACGCTGCAGCTGCCTCCATGACAACCGCAGCAAATTAATGCTGTGACGAAGAAGCTCGACAAGCCGAGTGTTGAAGACCATGTCGTAGCACAAGGTCACGTTAATGAGAGGAGTGAAAGAACACAAGGCAAACCAATGAAACGAGGAGGTGTTATATGTTTGATAAGATGGTGAGTGTTGGTTCAAATATTCAGAATTAAAGGAAAGTGATTGTTTAAAAATCGACAAAAACAAGATGTTTAAATCTGATTGTGTTAAATTCTCCACGTCAGAGATTGTCTACTGTAATGGAGAATTATTACCATGTTTAAGTCTTAGCGCAGAGGTATTGTCAGCATTGTACAAATGGCCCCTGTGACTGATATATTGTCACAGATTCAATTTTGAGATTGCCACTGATGGTAGTGAGGAGGTGAGGAGTGGGAGTAATGAAATGATTGACGGTGTGGAGAAGAAGAGAAAACTCTTTGAAATGATCTTCCTCAAAAGTATTTAAATGACGCGATGCGAGAAGTCTGGAGGAGAAATGTTTCAGTTAACACACCAACACTACTCTTTCATGAGGACCGAATAATACTGAGTACCACTGGTTTAATCTAAATATAAGGTATAGAGTTTGGTTGAAACAGAAAGTAAGCATTAACTATAGGTGTTTGGCAGTTGTAGAAGTAAAAGGGGTACTCGGTAGGGTGCATATACTGTACCTCCATTAATCACCCACCATATTCCAATCAATTAATTCAATTAATTAGAAAGATCGTGGATCTGCCCCCTGATCCGAGCTTTAATGGGTTCTTTCCTGACCCGTACAGCACCATTACTTCCTGGTAATCTGTCCAGTGGTTTTTGCATAATCCTGCTACATGAGACCAAGGCAAGAAACAAACGCAGACGAAAACATGACCTCCTTAACCTCACTGGCGGAGGTAGAAACAAATCAAAATCCCAATAACATAAACCGAGATATTCTGATTTCTAGTCGCTGCACGATTCAAGCCCCAGAATTCAACATTTCCCACAATGCAACTCTTTCATTTGTCGCTCCCTGCCTCCTATATCCCCTCATTTTTCAGTTGACGCCCCTGCATTCCCAGAAAGCTAGTTCAAAGAAAAAAGTCTCAAAGCCTAGTTGAGATAATCCAGATGACTCACTGTGACTCACTGACTGTCATCAGGATTGTTTATTCAGACTTCAGAGAGGATTCCCTCCAAACATTGGGCTTCTGCTTCCACAGGCTGAACTGAAAATGATTTCTTGTGAGAAATAAACTGAACTTCGTGTGTAAACTCAATCAAGTGGCCTTTAATCAGTAAAGAAGAAAAAGCATCTACGTCAATAATTATTTTTCCAAGTTCTGGACTGTTTGTTGAAAACCAAACAAGGTACGTTATTTATATTTTACAGATAAAAGGGTGGAGAAAACAAGGTCATGTCATCAGTGTTGGAAAGTAAGTACATTTACACTCATTTCCATTTTCTTACTGTACCTTAGCCAATTCTGACGTACTTGTGCTTTCCATGAATATTCCGAGTTAATATTACGTTATACTTCTGCCTCACAACATAACGCTTACCTTCACCAAGAGGTTATGTTTTCACCCCCGTCCGTTTGTTGGTTGGTTGGTCTGCAAACAAATTTATGCAAAAACTACTGGATGGATTAGCATGAACTTTAGTTTAAGGAAGGGGAATGAGTTTGGTGTGGATTCAGATCAGGGAGCGGAAATCAGGATTTTTCTCTGACTTTTGTAAACACTGTGAAAAAGGGTGTTTACAAAGAAGAACAGATTGTTTAAGGGACTGATATTTATGAGTGTGTGCAAGTTGGTGCAGATCCCAATTAAAATCTGGATCTCGTGAGTTTAGATGTGGTTTCATTTTGGGAATGTTGGTTCTTGGTTGACGTATGTCTTCTCTGAATGTCATTCTAGTTTAAAAATGAGCCTTCTGTGCTTTTTAATAGTAAATGACGAAAATGTCTTTTTAATAGATGAAGGGGAAAAAGCTCATTCTCTCTCATGTTGGAGGTTGTAGGAGATGAAGAGCTGAACACACATTTCGTGAAAAACATTTTAGATTCACTTGGTTTGTGTCACCGCTCACAACCAGAATACATTTTAAACTTCAAATCCAGAAGAATATTTCCCATGAGCCAAGAGGTCCAGAGCTGACCTCATAAAGGTATAGGAGGCTGTGCTGTGAGCGATTCTCACTGGTCACATTCCGCAGGCTTCATAAGATGTTGACAACCAGTCAGCGCGGGTCATTATTCACCGGCTGCCGCCAAGAAGGCACCTGCTCGAGAAGTCATGTTTGAGGCATTTTGACCTCTACGCCTCTGGATGTGTTGCAGCCTCATGCGAGGGCCCTCGGAGACTCTCTGTCCTCTACAGCCAGCTCGCCTGACTCATTTAAAAGCTGCGGTCACACTAAAAAAATGTGTCACAGCTCTTGTGAGCCCGATGGTTTCAGCAGTGCCTCATCAGATCCAGCTGGACTCACACTGCCGGGTTCAAGAAGTCACTGAGAGGAACTGAACCTTGACTCCTGGTTGACATGCAGCCAAAAACCACATCTGGGATGTGGAGGCTCTCTGTTGCTCAGATCAAACGACATGAAAGTGCTGATTAAACAGATGAGAATATAGTAACCACGTTGAGCCTGAGCTGAGTCTCTCAAGGTTGTTCCAGTGGATCCTCTCTGGTTTCATTTTTCACTAATTTGTGCATGGCAACACAACAGCAGGTTACATTTAAAAAGGAAAAAAAAGAGGAAGCTGCAGATGTGTTGTCACCTGACAGCCACAAAACTTTCTCAAGGCTCCGGATGTAAAACTCTATGAATCACAAACACACACACACAAAGTTTGGAACCATTTTTCCTGTGTGCATGACAAGAGGACCTTGGCAAATCTCAGCACCTAGCGTGACAGAGGGTGCTTTTGGGTGTGGGGGGGCTGTATTTTGTCATAATCTGGAAGGGGGTGGGTGGACCAACAGCTGATGTCCAGATGTAGAGATGCTTTCACACGGATGGAGCCTAAATCGAACAGGCTTTGAGTTTACCGTTAAAAAAACTACATTTGGTGACTGCAATATCCGAGGAAATGATCCTGATCCATATAATGATTCCATCTTTTCATGTTCTCATTGAAATCTGACTCTGTGGGATTACATCCAAACTTCAGATGGCTGTGGAAACAAAGTCAAAAGCCTCCTCTGTTTTTTCTGTGAGATAGTGGAAATGGATCTTGGTGCAAAATGGACACACGAGGCTGTGCGCCCTCTCTCCATGTGGCCGGTCCCTCTCTCGGCCAGGGGCACGGATGGATGGACGAGGTGAAATAAGGCGATCGGAATGCGGAACCGGTGAGAAATGCAGCTGGTTAAGGAAGCGGCTCTGTAAGCAGACCCCACTATCTGACTCCATTACACAGACCACACCAGCGCTCTCTGATCCATGTTCACAGAAAACAAAAGACGCCAGCATTTGCGCGTAAAACAGCCAGAACCCCACGAGAAACAACCACACTGCTTAAAAAACCCCAAAGTGGCGATTCTGAGTTCAGTTTAAAAATCACGTTTTGTATGAATAAGAGTATTTTACTTACTTGTCTCTGCGTTCACGACGTGGAAATTGGCCACGGCCGCGATGATAAGTCCGCAGAGCGCGCAGAGAGCGTCAGAAGCCATGGTGTGTGCCCGGGGGGGAAGCTGCTCTCCGTCGGCTACACGATTCCCGAAAAGTGCATGTGATGCGCAGTCAGTCCGTGCTGGTTCTCAGCATGGAAAAGCGAGCATCAGAGTGACTCACCCGCAGGAGTCTGCGCCTTGCTTTAATAGCGCACACACCCACGCTCACAGTTCAACTCCTATGAGTCATTTCCTATGTACTGTACTGGCCGGACTCTGTGCGCGCACTCACAGGAAACTCCACGAGCATAGTATGTGGTTTCATGTGTTTCAGCTCCAGAGAAAACGATTCTCTTCAACCAAACTCAGGTACACGAAGTGTTTTTCTTTAAAAACACATAATATTTCGTTTTTCACAGCCACACCCTTTTTGTTTTTCCTCCATCCACAAAGCAGAGAGTCTGTGTAGTCTGGACTTAATAGTGTTCTCATTGTTATTACCACGCCTGTCGACGTCACCCCCTCCACTGTGCCAAAAAACACAAGGCTCTGGCAGGAGCCTGATCCCATGCACACACACAGAGAGAGAGAGAGAGAGAGGAACAGCAACTGAGGCAAAAACAGATGACACTCACTAGGAAAAACTTTCTGGCTTCTAAGGCCTTTGGGAAAGTCTGCTCAAAGTTAAAGTCACATAATCTGTATGTTTATTCTCAAGAACACCCTCTCCTGCAAAAAGAAAAGCTGTGGTGTTCTTCACTTAAGCTTTTTTTCTCAGCCAAGGACCCCCTACAAGACAGGAAATGTTCCAAGGACCCCCTCATGTATGTCGCTTGGAATAATTTGACACTTCTACTTAATTACGTGAGAGAGAAATGTCTTAAGCCGCTTTTCAGACATGCACCGAACTCCATGTGAGAACACGTGTGAGAGTTTTTCTTGCCAGCCCCTTTGTAAAAACTCCTGATAATGTCCGAATGAGCCCATTTGAGAACACAGTAGGAGATCCTCCGCAGGATTCACCACAACAATGTGAGGTTTCAAACTCTTGGCATTGAAATAATAAATGAAAAACTAAAAAACAAAATATATAAATATATATCTCAGTCTGTCTGACTGGAGAATTACCTGCTGCATTCTTCATGTGTGAGCGACACTCAGGAGAAGTCCAGACCCCCACCTTCTGGACATTCTCTGGAATTCATGTCAAAAATATTAGACTGATGTTTTAAAAATGTTTGCACCATATCAACACAGAATAGTTCTGCATAATTTTACCTTTAATAGCTGAATCTGGAAACTATTTACGGACCCCCTGGCAGCGTGCCACAGACCCCCAGGGGTCCTCAGGCCGCTGCTTTCGGAGCTTGACGTGTGAATAGTGAGCGTCCGTGACGCATGTTGGTGTTATGGATGTCTGGGGCTGGGTGTAGCCCCGCTGCTGCAGCACAAGTATGCAATAAAAAAAAGAGCAGTGGACGCCTGCCTGCAGTGCTATCAGGTTGGCCTCTGTCACACAGCATTGTCTCATACATTAATGAAGACCAGTCACTACACGGCATGAGGGGAACAAAAAATGATCAGTTACATCAAAGTGGAAACTACTTATTTATTTTAGACAGGTTATTATGCACATTCATATATGAGTAAACAACCACTGCTCAAGAATTCTTAACAGTAAAATGATTCTTATCTTTGCCGACAAGAGCCAGATCCTGCAGCGACTCTTCATAACTGTTACCAAATGCCCTTTTTTTTTCACATATTCACTTTTTCTAAGCAGCCTGGAACTTTTTTTATGTGCGCTACATGGTGTGAACCGCCTTTCCCACAAGCGCTAACGTCAAACAGACGCGGACCAACCTCCCAGTAAATAGATCACATCATCAGAGCAGAGGGGAACGGGCTTGCGTTGGCTCAATTAGGTAAGAAGCATGTTGTTAAGCAGATGTTTTTGTACTCTGCTGTCGTAGCGAGCCTTTTAGCGGAGCAGTCTGCTAGGACCTGGAGCAGCACAGCCCACTAAGGACACCCATATGAGCTGACTTTCCACTGGAGTGATTTCATCAGTAATGAGGCACTATAAGCTGCAGATGTTGTGTCAAAACTCTCCAGCAGGAACCATGGCAACGAGATGAACACACACAGAGGACCTTGCCCAAGGTGATCCAAACACTCCTGTATGTGCTGACTGGATGCCAAACTAGCTGATGTCTCTCGGGCATTGTTAATACTATAGCCTAACCGAGGAAGTTAAGACAAATCTGCCTGTTGCACGTCATACATCAGAAACATATTTAGGTTTTAGACACGCAACCCTCGAGTCTGTGGAGGAGGGCTTCTTTTAATTTTGAAGTGTTTCAGCTCCACAGATTTTACAGGAGTTCCGAAAGCAGCAGGACAAAAACCATTCAAGGAAACACGTCAGGAAGATCAACCCTGTACCACTGCAGTTCATGTTCTTCTATACATAAAAAAATGAAATGGTTAAAAGTCGGCTCAGTCTGTTAGAGGAGAGGATGTTTAACTTGGCGACAACAGCAAAGACGGGAAAACAGTGCGGAGCAGCTCAACATGTAAGAACGTCACGGTTTGCACAAACAAGTGTGTTTATTAGCTACAGCACAACTCTCTCAGTAAGATGTGTCACTGTTTGGTCACCACATAAATCAGCGACTGAAAATGACGCGGTAAAAGTCTTTCCAAAGAGAGATTAAAACAGCGAAACAAACTCATCTGAATACCCCCCCCCCCTCCTAAAAATGTCTCCCCTCTTTGAATAAATCTTCAGCTTTTGTGTCTCTATCTCTTCTCTCCTTTGGTTTTATTCCTCCGTCTCCATTTGAATTAGGTAATGTAGATGCGGTGAAAGTCGTTAGCTCCGAAGGCACAGTTGCACTTGGGGCACTTCCTCTGTCGGGTGTCGTAACGCATCTTCAGACATTCGTAGCAGAATACGTGGAAACACTTGGTGAGCACCGTCTCCTTGTCTCGCGTGTTGCAGCAGGGGCAGCGCAGCTTGGCCTGGAGACAGATAAACACATAGTTTATGGGCCAAATACCGACTTGCCGGCAGTGTTATTACCTCCACTTGTTCTATGGTAATGCAGCTAATACTTGAGGGTGTAACAAGTCTTTGTATCCCCAAAGCACAAAGTGGCTGTAATATTTTCAGAAGTTTGAGCTCACTCTCTGGCTCATACTCACAAATGAAAAACTCCCACTGCCAGCCAATCAAACAAATCACGAAGCTGTAGTATTACCACTACATTTTCACCAGACGGTATTTCTGTCTGCATGTTGGTGTTTTTTGCAACTCCCTTGTCATTATCTTGAGGTTTATTCAAACAAATTCTCTGCACATAAACTGTCCTCTCCTTCTCACCTTGTACTGGTTGATCTCCTCCTGCAGGATCTCATCAGCATCAGAGTAAACCTCCACCTTCTTCTGTTTCTCCAGCTTTCGCCTCAGCCGGGACAGATCCTCCTGGACACGGAGGGGGGAAGAGTCATGAGAGCTGCGGCCTCGTGTGATCCTCCCATCTGAACTCCACAAGTCACTTGGACAGAATTTAAGAAGTGATATCCCCCAATTCCTGAAATACAACATACCTGTGCTCGTTTCAGGTTGCTGCTCTCCCTCTCCCGGGCCGTGCGATTCTCTGCCACAGAGACCTGGATCTCCTTAAGCTTGGCCTGCGTGTGCTCCAGCTGCACCTTCAGGTCTTCTGCCAGCTGGGCAGCCTCCACTGCCTGCAGCAGGGAAGGAACCGGACACACTCAATAATAATAATGAAAAAAACAAAAAACCAATGATGAGATTCCTGAGCTGTAATGTGCTGGGGTTGCAGCAAGCTTGGGGAAAAACTTGATATTCTGAATCTCTTCCCTGTGCTTCAACTTTAGATATTCTGTTGTGCGCTAACTTTAACATCAACACTGCTGATTTTGTAATTTTCATATTTACTACACTTAATTTCCAGCTCTGACGATCATTTTCCACAGCACATGATGCATCTCTGGATCATCATCATCGCTTCCACGCTATCGCTGGTTTCAGTTAAAGTAAACAGCTGCTTTTGTGAGTTTTCTGTGATGTTTTCATTTTACTTCCGAGGTTGTTTCTACTTTTCAAAATAAGATTAAACGTAAAAGAAAAAATTATTCAAGTTCCTGGTCAATGTTGGCAATGACCAGAAACACATCACAGGAGTAGGCACTTTCAAAACATGGCGGTGTGGGAATGAGGACAGACACTGGGTTTAATTTGCTTACAGTGTAGCTCGTTAAAACGTTTTTGTGGCAGAAACCCCACACGTCTCGGATGTCCGAATTTTTAACAACCACCTAAATACATGAAAATGAAACGTAACGAGAACAGATTTACGCAGGTGTAATTACCAAGATCCTCCTACAGTGTTTTAATGTTTATATTTAGGACCACAGACATCTGGCAGCAATTGAATCAGTGTAAGAGCCAACAGTGCGATCAGAGGCATCTCTCTCCTCACCTTCCTCTTGTTGAGCTCTAGTGCTTGCGTCCGGACGGCCAGCTCTTTTTCCAGAGTGGCCAGCGTGCTCTGGAGGACGCCCTCTTTCTCTTCTAGCTTCTGAACAACCAGCAGCTGAGCATCCACCTGACAAGAGGCAGCAACAAGTTAATATTTCAGTTCCTCGACACTACGGGAGAACATCCACTCTGCAGTTAAACGTCACCTGGGTTTTGAATCGGAGGACTTGGTCGGCCAGCTCCTCCTTCTCTTCTTTCAGCAGCTTGTAGATCTGGTTCGATTTGATTCGCTCGCTCATCAGCTTGAAATTGGCGTCGTCCTTCTCCCTTAACTGCTGCAACAGTCGGCTGTTCTGCTCCTGCATGTCTTCAAAGGCCTGGCCCGTGACGTCCATCTCACTCAGCAGGGCTTCCTCCTCCTCAAGAGACGCACAGGTATCAGTGAACAGAGGAGGCAGTGTGTGGTTTTGAACTAACGGGGCCTGGTTTCATTACCAATGGTAAACATTCATATCAAGTACAATACGAGTTGGGGGTTTAAGTGATATTCTCCAAATAAAACAGTGCATTTTCACCACAATGTTCTGTAACCATAACTAAAAACAAATAAAACTAACCATGTATATGAAACAAAGAAATTCACTCAATTTATTTCATTTTTATAGATTTAAAAAAAATTGCTAACATCTACTATTCCTACCTATTTCTAATAATAAAAAATCATTGGTATAAACAAAGACAATATGGTGCATCTACTCAAACTAAATCAAAAACTGTTTAATCCATGTTGTATTTTTCAATAAACAAAGAGTAACAGATGTGCGAAGGTGTTAAATTTGA